AAAAATATTATATAATATATAATTATTAAAATAGACAATATTTATTACTTTTTAATAATTTAGATTTTTTTTAAGTTTGGGCTTTTTTTTTTTTCTTTTTTGGTATCACGTACGGGAGAGCAACTTATGAGAAGAGAATGTGTTTTAAATTTTTTTTTTTTTATAAAATCTTCAAATAAATGAGAAGTTAGATTTAAATAAAATATTATAGGTTATAGTTGAATTGAATTAAACCATATTAAGTTTTAATGAGTAATTTTGTAATTATATTAAATATTAAATGTTGTCGATGAAAACCATAATAAAAAAACTCCAAAATGAGGTTTTGACTTAATATGTAAAATTATTGTACGTTTGTTATAATTTTCTATGACTTTTGAAAAAAATGATTAAAAAATTATTAAACACATGTATATAAAAATACTGTATATTTATAGAAAGGACTTTGAATTGTAATTTCCAACACATCCTTATTTTATTTTATTATCTACCGTAAAACCTCTATAAAAGTAAATGGTGCCCTCTACCGCAGTGGCATTGGATGATAAATCATGCCTAACCGACCCTATTGGGTTCACATGGTTTTTCACCGTTGTTTGAGACTTTTTTCTTTCTTTTTTCTTTCTTTTTTTTTTTTGTTTTTCTTTTGGTTTACATTAGCCTAGGGTGTGTTTGAGTGTTTGGTATAGCGATGGTCAGTAATTTCGTTTATTACTATTGTTAATAAAGTAAAAAATAATAAGATTGAAGAAAATTAGGACATTTTGGTATTAAAATACTATGCATGACAAAAAAAATTTATTAAGAATATTTAAATAATTTTATAAAAAAACTTACAATTTAAAGTATCAAAACATACTAATTTTCACAATTATACTCATAATTGTTAATAATTCAAACATATACAAAATCTTTAACAATTAGTTTTAGATCATTATACTAAATACTAATACAATATTGAATGACCCTAAATTAATTTTCAAATAATTTTTGACAATGTAAAAAAAAATTGTATAACCTATGGTATAGTATTGAGAATAATTCGTATTGAGAATAATTCATATGAATCCTGAAAAAACTTCAAATTCAAAAACACTATTTTTTAATAAATATTTAAAAAAATCAATCGTTAAATAAAAAAATTTATTTATGTTGATTACATATATCAATTTTTTAGTTGATCTACTATCAAGAATTATTTGATCAGGAAGTTATATTTTCTAATATTTATTTAATGTTGTTAAATTTTATACAGTGAATAAATTAGTTAGACATATTCATTCAATTTAAAAATTGATGTTTATAATTTATGCAAATAAAATATTAAATCTAACAATTAATTTTTTCAAATATTCATTAAAGTATACTTTTTTAATTAAAATTCTATAAAATCAGGAGTGATATTCATTATTTTCTATAATATTGAAATCGTAAATACATGGGAAACTTATAAGTGACCCAAAACAGAATGATGAATAAGTAATAAAATGACGAAGTATAATATACCATTATACACTCCTTCTTTTGATTTATAAATTAGAAGATACATTTTCACCTCAATAAGGTGGTTCAATAGTTAAGAATTTGAGACTCCAAATTAAAGATCTCAAGTTCGAGTTTTGAGTCGGGAGGGGAAGTATTTGGAAATAGAGGAGAATTATTCCCTTTGTATAACTCATACTTAGATGTACTAAAAAAACAATAATATACCATTACACACAACAAACGTTTACATTACCAAATACCAGTAAAGGATTGACCTAGTGATTAAGATAAGATGTATTGATATTTCATGTTGTAGAATCTTGCCGTATGTAGTTGTTGATTTACTTTATGTTAGTTCATTAATATTTGTTATTAACAAGAATTTTTTTGATAGTTGATTTATTTTGTAATTATTTAATTGTAGTGTGATGTATTAGATTGATTAAATGATTACTTCATTTATCTTGAAATAATAGAAATTTTTTTGTTTAATTTTTTCGTAGTTCATTTTTTATATTTTAAAGAAAATAAACGTATTTTATTTTAAAAAGTGCACATTAATTTTGACACTTAAAAAAATTAGAGTCTTAACATGAATTAATATCATTTTATTGAATTAAAATCAAATTTAAAATTTAAAAATCTATCTTGTTAAATATTGATATCTGAATTTAAAAATTAATTATATATT